TCTGTAACTTCTGTCGGTGCTGTGCTTTTTTGGAAATCGAATTTCCCAGAGGAACCCACCCGAGGGATTAATAAAGTTCTATCTAATCTAATCTAATCTAATATATACAACATCTAGTGAACTTCAGTTTTATTTGTACAGTGCAGGTTCACCAGAACTATTTTATTGAAGCACTCTCAGCCCAGTTTACTACATGAACGTGTTTAAATGCTGTCTTCATTTTGTCATACTATCAGTGATTTAGTATCTTTAATAGATGATATTAAGATATCAAAGAAACTTGAATAAGTCCAGACGCTTTTCTTTCCAAGCTCCTTAGACTACGACGACCTGGATGACTGAGAAGCTTCACAGACACGTGAAACAGAAAAATGTTTTTGTTTTAATTCAGCTGAAACAAATAAAAGAAAAAGTGTGTTGTTTTTGAGTAAGAAGGTTAGAGAAGGAAGAGCCTACAGATATACAGACCCTTTCCAAAAAAATGTGAATATCATGGAAAAGTTTATTTATTTCCTTAATTCCATTCAAAACGTTAAACTTTCATATATTATAGATTCAGGGTTTGAAGCACTTAGTTGTTTATTTAATTACATAATTTGGGCTTCCAGCTCATAAAAAACGCAAAAACAGAATTTCAAAAAATGAGAATACTGTCAAGACCAGAGGCGGAGCCAGACATTTGAAACACCCGGGGCTTAGCCCTAAAGGGTAGTATGAATGTGGGATTTTTTTTGTTTGTTTGTTTGTTTGTTTGTTTGTTTGTTTGTTTGTTTTGGGGGGGTAAGAAATGACTGAAAGATTAATTGGCTCTGTTTTGAGTTTTGTTCAAAAAAGAAGGACTTCATAGAGGGAAAAATATATATCATATGCAGGACACCTTAAACTAGTTTTTTAATTAAGCAGCGAGGCAGAACAAAGTCGGGGCTGCATCAAGACACAGGGACTAAACCCCAATTCAACCAGACCCAGAACTGATCCGGAATTAAAACAGGACTACAACAGTTCAAAATCAGGACTACTGAGGACTTAACCAAGACAGAACCAGAAAGCTAGATGATAGTAGCACTAAAAATCATCATAGACCTGCACTACACTTATTTTTTAATTCTACCAAAGAACTCTATTTAGATTGAGAAAAGTTTATATAATTATTTAGCCTTGTTGTGCAAACAAGTCTGCAGAACTTAATAAATATAGAATTTGAAAAGTAACAAACCTAAAAAGAAACACGAGATACATGAGGACCTATGATACGGTGATACTTTTGGTAAACAACCATTTGACTAACATATGAGTCTCACCTGCTCTTGTTCATCTCTGTTCTGTCCTCATTCTCCATCTCCCTCTCTGTTCCTCTTTCTCTCCCTCTTTGTGCTGACAATCATCAAATATACAGTTGAAACCAGATAAATACACACTCTTCAGATCAAAACACAAACACTTTTTTAATTGTAACATCAAATCAGACTAAATGCTTATTTTTTTTAGATTGATAAATAAATTATTTATCAATGTGTCGGTGAAGGTTCTCAGTCATCCAGGTC